GATTATGAAATACATCTGATCTTTGGCTACAGTACGACGTAAAACGTTGGTCAATTTTTAAGATGATATTGACTAAAAAATGGTATGCTGTTTAACGTGAACATTTCAGAGAGAATATTTAAACTAAATGACAAAGTATGACAGATTAAAAATATAACATCGCAATAATATTTGCAATAATTCCTCAGACTCTCTTCATTTCCTCTCTGTTGAAAATCTTCAATGAGAGTCGACCATTTGTTTGAAGACTGGATATCAGAAATATCTTGTAGTTGTAGACAATAGAACAAGTCTGTATATTTCCCTACGGACATGATTAATTAACAAATTAAATTAAGTGCCAATGCAAATAAATAAAAATGATTCATGCAACAAATGCCGGTAAAACAGCAACACTACAAGAACTGCAAATGCAGCAAATGAATGAAATATATAACTTGAAATATAATGAATGCACCTCGGTATTATAGATTAAAGTCTTACAGAATAGCCCTAAGCACCAACATAACTAGACTATGTACTATTCTCTCCAATAAATGTTAGTATTGACAACCAACCTTCCGTTCGTTTCCGTGTTTCATTTCTAAGAGTTGCTTCCCATATCCCTACTGGGAAATATAAGGATAGACTTCTACTGTTTGATAATCCACAGCTGACTGCACTTTTAAAATACAGCCTTGTCATGTAAAATTCTACGGAAAATCATTCGTCAACGCCTCACCGAATCTCTACAATCCAACGAAATCACGTTAACATCAACGAGGCAACCTTCAAGCTAAACGGGCAACAACTGTTCGCCTGGCAATCTCCGCAGACGAATTATTATTTTTTGCAGATTGGCTCTCTTCCATAAGACTTTAAGGCATGGGAAAGCACCGAAATCAGAAAAAAAAGTGTTTCCTGATCAAACCCTGCGGCGTTTCGCGCCGCTTACGGGTTCAAAAAATAAATCATGTTAGGTGATAATGAAATTGATATATAACAAAAAACAAACATGGCATTGTACATACAGTTTTAGAAAATGGTGTGATAATAATGCAAATTAATGCAGATATGTAACTGAAAATTGAAATTTGAATTGAAATGGTATTAGTTCTATGGCCATCAGGCTGATTATTCGAAGGTCAAATGTGCAACAAGATATCGAAATGGATTAAAAGCAGTTGTTTCTCTGTGTACAAAAGAAAATGAATGGGCTACGATTTAAGAACTCATGAGAGTTACAATTGTACAAATGTGCCTAGGGTATTCCCGAAGGTCACGTTCCTTGAGCAATATCAATAAAATGCATACGTGTGAACGTGTATTATGAATAAATGCATCTTACTTTGATAATTCAAATTACACTTTTCTTGATTTAGCTGCCTGTCGTAAAACGCAAATTATTTCCACTATGATCCTACAGCATTTATGGAAACAAGTTTGATACAAACCTATATCTAACAGGACCCCTGTAAAATGATTGTAATTTTTGCACACACCATATACTCTACGCTTGCTTTAGTTTACTAGAATATGAAGTATTACAATTTGATTTTTTTAAAGAAAAAAATAAAGTCTAAATTTAAACATGGCATGCTGAAACGAGGAAATATGAAAGTCTTATTTAAATATCCGTATATAAAGCCTCTTTCATTCCTATACCTTCAATATTTTTATAATTGAAATGAGTTTGTTTCCATTTGCAAAACAAGTATATTTATCAAAACATTTAATTGCAATGGTGAATTTTCTTCACAGCATGCCATGCTTATCATATTGAACTATCATATATGGTTTTACTCTAAACTTAAAAACCCTAAAAGGAAAGAATGATGCACACAGGAATACAGTGACTATCTTTTATAGATTCTATTAAATGTTTTAGACAAAAAAGGTAGAATTCCACTAACAAAATCTTTCATGAGATAAAGATAACTAGTCTGAATTAAAATAAACCCTAAAAACTAATGTAATTATCAGTGGAAATCATATATCAATTAGAAATACTTTCAAATGTCCAACTGCTGTTCGTATGATATATATGGAAGTACATTTAACATTATGATACCGATTTCATTTTATTTATTCCTATAGGATCTCATGTGTTTTAAAAAAAATTAAAAAACAACCTCCCACCTGTAGCATTGAATTCGTGCATGCACAGCCAAGCTGATGTGTCGGCGCCCACTATACAACAGGCGTCCCTTTGTGGAACTTTTTGTATAGGATCTATAATTAGAAGACTTGGGTAACTCAACGATTTTTCTCAGGGACATTTAAACTATACACTTGTTTAAAGCTCTGACAGTAGATATTCTTATCAGTTCGTTGACCCGAGTTTACGTGTGAAAGGTGTGATGTAACAGCGAGTTGATAGTTTTAACAATATATTTTTTATCAGTTTCTTGATATTTTGAAAATATTTGCTTCGATTCACTGAAAGTATAAAACAGTGCGTTTGTATTTTGTTATTTTTTTTTCTCTCATTCAATTCGCCACAGACATATACCATGACTTTGAAATATTTTGCTCTCTCGATCAGATCAGTACCTGTACCGGCTACTCGTGATCAGAACATTTCCCACGTTAGATGTAACGTGTCGTATTAATTTTATCTAACTTCCTGGTTGAAATCGAATGCCTAATTAACCTTGACATTTTGAGCCAGTGACCTGGTTCTGGTCAATAGTAGTTGTATAAGGATAAATGATAACAGAAAATAAAGTCAATGTCACATGACCTGTGAGCTAGAACACAGACAAAGGGTGATGTTAAAGCCCGACATATGAAGTTATATGTAGCTTAAAAACAGACGTATAATTATGATATATTTCACATCTTTCAATCATAAGTGGTAGTATAAATACTGTTTGTTTTACAGATAGTAGAAGCAGAGATAATGCAGTTATAGCATATCAGGAAGTAATATTTAATCCTCCAGTGTTATCTTTCTATTTGTGAAACTCATATCCTTTCTTAATTATAATCATAACCTTAGTAATTAACTCTAACATGTCAGTTAGTTGAAATAAGACTTTATTCATATTCAGAAACAAATATAATCTATAAATTAATTAAAGATATGGATGAGCTATCTTTCATTACAACAGTATTTGTATTGCTGAAGTTAAATTATAGCAAAAACCGATTTTGTGATAACTGTTATTTTTGTCATATTTCAAAAAATATACAATGTTCCAAATTAGGAAAAGATCATAAAAAATAGTTAAGTAAAATCCCCTTATACAATACACAAAAGGCAGTCGATACCATATTCCAGTATTTTTATATTTGTTAAACGTACACTTCTATGATGTCATTTTTACACAGGTTGCAGACTGATTTTTCATTAAAATAGACGTGATCATCATGTGATTGAAAACGTGTACACAGCTGACTAGAAGTGGCAGGGATCATCGAATATGTTACTTTATCCTGATATTAAAATTAATGCCAAGTACATGTATTTTGTTTGCCTCCCATATTGTCACGAATATATTAAATAGCATTCTCTTTGACGACGATTTCACATTGCGAATGTAGAATGCTTAGAAAACCTTAAACTTATATACTGTCTGTCACGATACAGGAATACAAAATGTTCGTTCAGTCCTTTCTTTCGTGTTTTCGTTGCTCATTGGAATGTCATTTTGTGAAATTCCCTAACTCGAAAACTTCAAACTTAACATTTTGATTTAAGATTTTCGCTGTCACCAATAGCATGTCATCTGATGTGTGGTACATGACATATAAGGGCTTACTGATTTCACTTTGGTCCAGCATAAGTTCACGACCTCTCTGTCCGTCCCTTGGTATCTGATGCACCTTGTAGCTAGGGCCGTCACAACACACATATATGCTACCTGACCTGTCAAATGACACACCTCTTATGTATCGAAAATTCCCGTTATAATACCGGAATATTTCCGTTCCGTCTATTTTGCAGCTCACTACTTTGTTATTGTCTGGATAACAAATCCGTCCCAGTTCACTACACACAGCTACATATGCGCATCGTCCATTCCGAGGAATACGTTTCTGTTCGGTTCCATCCATTGCCAACATGTATACAGAGTTATCTGTACCCAATAGTATGGTATCGTCATGTGCAGCGATACCACTGTGGTATGTTGAACTGGAATGATCTGGCAATGGACTAGCACTGATGTACCTTAGATCATCACCATTAATAGTGTACTGTTGTATATCTGTAGTAGACCTTACTAGCACTACCTTGTGTTTGTTACTGTAAGCGATATCAAATGGCTGTATTTCCAACAGATGTTGGTTAATCAGGTTGTACTTGTTGTCATACATCACAATTTGTCCGTTCCTGTTATCAGCCAGCAGTAGACGGCCATCAGGGAGGTATGTCCCTCCAGTAAGCCGTGTATCTCCCAAGGATCCCGAATGGGTTAAACTCTTTACTTTCCTTGTGGTCGCTGTAATGGAATCCAAACCTCCTACATCCTCCAAAGGACGAGTGATGATCAAGGATTCTAGCATATCAGAGGATGACACAGAATCCTCCAACAATGACAGATCTTGTTTTTGTCTGAGGATGTTAATGTTTTCCTCTATTTGAGCCAAAGCATTCTGAACAGGTGTAGATGAAGTTTCATTTTCTATGATGTGTCCTACAGAAAGGATATAGTTCGCGATCTTTAATATTGCATCTTTTGTTTCCAGCTTGACTTGTGTTTCTTTAAAGTCTTTTATCACAGTCTTTGCTTCATGTACATGGGATGTAATTTGGGTCCTCAGTTGTTCCTGTATGACGAATACATGTCTAGGAGATGCGCGTTCTGTAATTGCCGTCATAATACCGACACAGTTTTCCAAGTTGATCTGTAACATTCGAGTTTGATCTTGAATTCTTAAGAGTATGCGGTTCCTTGAATTCTTCTGAGCATTTACTTTGGACTTAAAGCATACATGTTACACATCTCTTTGTCTCTGTTATTAAATTATCCATGACAGACAGCGTGTCTGTATACTCTTTGTTAACTTCTGCATTGTGTGAATCTTCTTGTTGTTAGATACTCATTACATCCGTTTTCATATTCTTGAACTCTTGGATAAATGATGTTCTGTCCCTGTGCTTTTCTACTCGCTTTGCAATGTCATCAAGTGACCTGATATTTCTGCAGCCGTTATGCAAAGTTGGCACACAGAGAGCACAACAAAGTTCCTTGTGATTCAGACAGAATAATTCTAGCATTGTTTCCGGGTGTTTTGTACATTCTTCGTTTGAACGACTGTAAGCCAGAACGTTGTGGAACGCATCTTCGAGGTCGATAACTTGGTGTTTCTTTGTTTGTCTTACTTTCTTGTGGGCAACACGGCAATCTGTACACAATGCCTCACCACACTCAATACACCACGCATTGGCTGTCTCTGTTTCATTGTCACCCAGACAAACGTCACAGTGTGTTCCAGCGGTATTGTGATATCTTGAAACAGATTTGTAAAGCGCGTTAAGTTGAAAACTTTTTGATATATCGGTTGCAGACGCATTTGTATCTGGTACTTTTACAAAATATCTGCATGCTGGACATTCAAAGTATTTGTCTGAGTCCGATTCTCGAATCCCAGCAGAGTCTATATAGGAACTAAGGCACTCTTCACAGAAAGTGTGTTTACATGGTAACGATCTCGGTATGTTGTAAACATTCCAACACAACAAACAATTCAGTGGGTTAGCTCCCGTCACAGCGCTAGATGTCGCCATGTTTGTTAAAGGTTTGCTACAAAACGACTGACTACCCCGTCGTATCTAAGACTCGTTGTAGAACAAATGATACGTACGTGCTCGTCCAGAAGTCTAGTCTATATTCTAGACCAATGTTTTCTATGCACATAGCACGAAGTATATGTCCTCTTCAAATCAGGTGATGATGCCTTAAATCTCCCCTCGCTTCATGATAATCTTTGTGTACAGTTGATTCTACTGCCACTAGGTTTAACATATTACCTCAAGCTTATCAACCCACTGCCTGCCGTGTCGACTATGATATTTGATCCTAGTTCACAGTGATATATATAGAGTTTGTATGACATTGCAGTATTTAAATTGTATAATTTAACAATTATCATGTATTCATGCCTAAGCCCGACTATGTAAGGTAAACAGGTCTTTTGTGGATATAAATAGCGCTCGTCCTTAATCATGCGACGACTTATCTGTCGTCCTTTGGTCTCCTTTACCTAGCCTGTGTTCGTTCAGAGATTTTAATACACTGCGACAGGAAAAATATTAGCAGCTTAATTTTAAACAATGGACTATTGCTAAGCATGGTGATCCTAACCTATTTGTTTCAATAACTGAAATACTACTTTATTGTTGTTAAGCATTTAATGACAGGAACTAGTATGACAATTATAGTCTACCTCTGACAAAATACTACTGTTTTATTGAGTGTGTTTTGCAATGGATCAATCATTTCTATAGTGAAATATGTAGGTCTAGTGACACTACCATTGCAAGTAAATGCCCTAAATGTCTTTTAAGAAACAATTGTTGTATTTTATGTATGTAATTGTATTGTCTTGTTAACATTACCATTTTGTATAGAGTTACATTATAATCATGTAAGATAGGGCTAAACATTGTGATATGGGGGCTGACATACCTACTCGATAATTTTGTCACTATATATCATAACGATACATGTATATCTTGTCTAGTGGAGTATACCCACATTGCAATGTATTGTATTATAATGTTGAAATTGCAGTGCAGTGTTTAGTGTTGATAACTACACACTTATAACCATGTCTAATTGGGCTAGACATTAGGAGGCGAGGTCTAGTATAGTTGCGCGATACTATGATTACCTTATATATAAAGATACGTCTGGTGGGTGTGTCAAACGTATATGTTGTTATTGACAGGCGCTGTATAAAGAAGAACGACAAAGCCATAGGAGGGTTTCGATTAAGCATGGTATGTGCTATGTGATATATATAATAAAAGACCCTTATGTTTATGTATCTTTGTTAAAAAATTGTAGTACTTTATCAGTTGTGTTGGTACCATTTTTGTATTAACAACTGCTACCTCACAACCATCTTTGGAATCCTGTGGATCTTGCAGTTAATTGTGTTTTTTTTAGGTCAATTGAAACCTCCGTAAACGAGACAACATTTCATATAAATAAATTTCAAACCAATACTCAAACAATTTTGTTTATATTAGCGCTGCAATGTCACTGATATATTATATGTAAACCAATTAAGTAAACTTCATCACGGGTCATTATACTATGAACTCAATGAATAGGAAGTCACGTTTTACTCTCGTTTGGAATTCTAGGACTATTCCACCATGAAACCAAAACGAATCCTGTCTTCAGTCATGCAACAGGTTAATGCTGTAAAGTAAGAAACAAGCTCGCACTAGCGCACTTTCCGGCAAGTCCGTAGCATGAAATGTCGCTATCAGTGTCACTCAATTCAAGTAACACGTCAGGAGAAAATCTTTCTTTCGAGTTTCGATAACGAAGTCTACCAGCAATGCTATATCTACTCTTAGTTCCTTTGCGACAGCAACATTCAAATTGTTTCTCTAACGTCAACAAAAACCGATCAGCGACATGTTGTCCGCGACTAGTTTCAAATGTATCGGACATGTCTTTGCGATGTCACGTCTTTAACAAACGCTGTCAGTAATCATAATGATAAAAAATATTGGTATCTTTTAAATTTAATTTTACGATTATTTTATGCTTGACATATTGTTTTATGATTGTTACAATACAAAAAAATGTCATTGAGTTAGTACTTACTGATATTCAAACATTTTTTACGGTTGTTTTGTCAATGGACTATATTTGAAAACTTCACTCATAATAAAACGCACGTGCTTTGGGCTGGTCCACAAGTCCAACATTCCAGGTTAGAGGATTTGATATCGGTTTTAGTTTTAAAAAAACATAAAGACGTGGAAATGTAAATATAAGCATAAAACTGCTTTCCAATACGGTTCATAGGCATTACCCAATGCATATCAGTGTAATTAAGTGGGTATTCATATTGCCTATGAACCGCACCTGTAAGAAGGTAAACGCTTAAGTATAACGCGGTTCATGTCTTGTTCCTGTCATGCAGTGTGCATTTATATTGCTTTTGGACCACATCTGAAAGTACTTTAATGCTAAATATTGACCAATAATAGTCTGCATAGTTTCGTTGTAAACAGTAACCCAACGATAAAATTGTTAAGCTCTTACGAAAGATATACTCATCACACCTCTGACTCGGGTTTACGCGTGAAACTGTATGATGTACAAGAGCATTTGTAGTTTTTTTTTATACTTTTAATACGTTTGATACGTATACTGTTAATATAAGATAAAATTGTTGACATCTTTCTATTATTTGATTCTATTCGCCAGAGATATATACCATGTCTTTGATATATGTAGCTGTCTCGATCAGATCAGTACTGTTACTGGCGACTCGGTATCAAACAGTTTTTGATGTCCCGTTTAAGAGTTAACATGTGTGTATGTGTGTTGTTGGAATGTATTTAACTTCCTGTTTGAAAACAAATGCCTTATAAACCTTAACCTGTGTGACCAGTGACCAGGTTCTTGTGGGCAGTATTTGTATTAGGATATAGGATAACAGAGAGTGATGTTAACGTCACATGACCTGTGAGTTAGAAGACAAATCCAGAGGTAATGTGAAAGCTTACATATGAATTTATAGGTAGCTTAAAATAGAAATATACTCCACAAGATGCTCTCTCGACCAGATGTTTTAGTATATAAATCTGTTTGTTTTACTGATGATCGAAGCCAAAAATTGAGTTTGATAATATATCAAGCAGTATCATTTGACTCCCTTGTATTATCTTGATATCTGTTAAAATCATATCAAGTCGGATACATTCCTTTTTATTACATACTTACTCATAAATACTGATTTTGTGTATATGCAATACGACACAATTGCTCTTAACCATATCAGCCCTCGCCGTATCACACCCCAAAACCTGTATCAGCCCTCTCCGTATCAGACCGTAAAACCCGTATCACACCTCTTTTGGAACACTTCTCATTTCCCCATCCACCACAAACAACGTCATTTGGAACCCAATCACAAAGAGGCGATACAGCAGAGTTATCTACAGCGACAGCGATTCCGATTAAATAAGGGAAACTTTGACATTAAGTCAAAATCAACACAAATGTAATAAACATGTTCTAATCGAGTTATTGTTGTGTTTATCGTTAGCACTCTATGACAATATTTCAATATTTCAAAAGAAAAACTAAATCATAAGATAGTAGATATATCGGTATTTTTTATTAGTAAGTAAGTTATAAACAGAATAAAACATGCCTTTTTCTATGTCACACACAGCATAAACCCTCGAACAATATCAGCTGTCAGGCCTTCGGCCCTCGATTTGATATTGGAGTCTCGGGTTGATACTGGGTTTTATATAGAAAAAGGCATATATTATTCTCTATAAACCTGTCTCTCTTTTTTTTTTCTTGTATCACAATCTCAACAAAAGATATAACATGTCAGAAAATGGAAATATTTTTTGTATTAATAATCAGATATAAATACAATCGTTTAAGTTACCAAAGAGTTGGATGAGCTATCTTTCAATTCATTTTGTAGTGCTGAAATTAATAAGAAGCAAAAGCTTATTCGGTGACAATGTTATTTTNTTATTTAAAAAAAAAAAAAAAAAAAAATAAATAAGGGGAAATGAAAGCATGGATGATTAAGAATGTTAGATTAAAATCCTTCTCCTTATAAGATATATTAAAACACTCAATACAATAGTTCAGTATTTCGTATGT